TTATTTTTTTGTTACGTCATGATCTCGTTTGTTCTACCTACCTGTTAATTGATATTTTTTCTTTATGTTTGTTATTATTTTAAAACATCTAAAAACTTTTTCTGTATTACAAATAATACCGATTTTACCGATTGTTCATAAAGTATCTACATGGGTATGAACATATTTAATCATAATTACTTTTATAGAGGTTTGCGCATAAATAATTAATTTTATTTTTGAAAGATAAAATAGGGATTAACGATTTGTATGAATTTATATTAATTCCCATAACATATTATTATAATAAATTGTTTTAATTGATGTAAAACGCGTTCGGGGTGTATACTAACAGACAGTTATACAGTTATATAGTTACACAAACTCATAAATAATTTTACAAACTATTTACATAATACATACATAGGTAGTTACCTACACATTTTACAATAGAAGAATAATGATCAAAACAAATATAAATATAATATAGTTACAGTTTTTCGCAGATACACCTATACAATATCGAGTTACACGCTGTTCAATGTAGATATGAATTTTTATGTAAATATACTGCAGCTATTATACAATAATGATTATAATAGTATAACAGGTACATTAATAGGCGTTTGGGCAGTAAAAGAATAAGAGTCAAGCGAGATCGTATCGGATGCGTAACAGTTAGTGGATAATAATAAAACATAATATATGTATAGCGATTACAACGATGCTATTAGAAGCGTTTTTGGGAACTAATTTACGTAAATTATGAATATTATTATTGGCTAGGAGGGTATAAACAATTATTTTTAAAGTTTAAGTTATTAAAATGATTCTACCCGTTATGATGGGTGTTATTATAATACATTATGATATTAAAGCGATAATGTCTGCGAAAAATTACTGAAAAAAAACTCGTGTCGTGGAGGCAAAATCAAAACGAAGGACCGAAACCATGTCGTTTACATATTTTAAATAGTCCACAAAAATATGTGGTTAGTAAACCGTCTATACAACGACCACCAAGTGATGGTAGTATATATTTCACTTATCCTCGCACTTACAACGAGAGTATGAACAATTTTTCGCAGAAATTGTCGTCGCTGTCTTACAGTACGTATATTATTATAGAAATTACGACTGCGTGCGAAAAAACTTACGGATGTCTCTGTCGACTTCTGTGTGCTTATACGTATACTATAATAATAACGTGCTGTTCTAGTGACAACTCGTACAAGACTAACAGTGACAATATAATTGTAAGCATATAATGTATATTTTATTAATACCATGATAATGGAGTTATGGTTTTATGAGGTAATAAAATATTATTATTATTATTTCACCCCGCGGTACATGTCACGCGAATGCGTTGCGTAAACAATTACATACGATATTATGATAATTGCACATTTGCACATAATTAAAAGAGTCATCCGATAAAATATCTCAAATTGTCTATTGTACGATACTCAATGTCATTATATTATAGCACACCACATACAGCGGAGATTTAACGTAACGATAAACGGATCAGTATGTATTATACTCATACACTGTGCTTGAACGTATTATTTAACGAGGAAGGAAAATCATATTTAAAAAACTAATCAGCTAAAAATATAAATGGGTAGTATAATATATTGGACGTTGGCTTTTAGGTACTTCAATTTATTGAAGCAACACTTATATAAAAACGATTTTTTTTTTTTTTTTTTTGTTAATATTGTGCCACTCGATTGCGTCCCTTTTTAATTAATTTTCTCAATTCAAGTATTGGATAATATACAAGTAGGTTAGGTACCCACTATATATATATTATATAGGTACAGGTCGGTGGCCCATTGAGTTTTCTCGTCATCTTATTAAACTATAGCACAGGAAAGTGGGAAATCACGATGGGCCACTCTGTATTCATAATCGTCATTCACTTATCAACAAGTAATTAATACGCAATAACATGGGACACATACATTATACTTTTTAAAGGTGTATGAATATAAAATTGTCGAATCTTCGCGGGACGCGTTACGAGTATAGTACATAAACTGAAAAAAATTGACAAATATAATAATAACATTAATTTATAATATGTATACAATATACACACATTGACAGCGCACACACACACACCCACACACACACGTACACACACACACACACACACACATATACACACACACAATTATGGGCGGCGGACTGTGAGCGCCCGCGATAGATACACGCACGTCCGTCCGTCCGTCCGTCCGTCACCTGATAAGCCTAGTCGGCGGACGCGTTTTCCGAGGAGTGACAGCCGGCAGCATGTGGTTCGTGTCTCGATTTGGTGAATTTTTTTTCCTCTCCCCTCTCTCTCTCTCACTGTCGTCTTCCTGCGGCACAATCGTCTCGGACGCGGCGCGCGACGCGTCTTTCTGGCTTCTCACGCGGACGAGTACAATTTGTTCGTCTGACAGCAGTAGCAGCAGCTCCTCGTCCTTCCCCGTCGTCGTCGTCCTGTATACAGTGCAATACAATATATATATATATACACACACACAAAAACCGTACAGAGAATATTATAAAAAACAACACATATGTCAACGCTCTATTGGGGACTAATATAATATATAATATGTAATAATACGCCGCCGACTACTTATTCCCGTGTTTAACGTAATAATAATATAATATATATAGTATTTTCCGCGAGCGACCCGTGACAAGATGGTTAATGGTTATTAACAGTATTCACCGATGCTGTTCACATATGACGAGGGTTCGAGTGCAGTTTTGGGGGTGTTAGAAAGCAATGCCGGTGGTGGGGGACAGGGGAGCTGACGAAATGATCGAGCCGTGATAGGATGTAGCAAAGAAGAACATTTTTTAAAATTGGAATTGATTAAAAAATATACCTATACTACGCGTAAATTAAGGTAGGTTATGGCCCATTCAATATAATAAATGGTTTTCATTATATATTTCGAGGTTAATATCAATATTTAATTTTTGATCGCACTTGATCTATCGAACTTGGTATAGTCACAATTGAAAAATAAATGATTGAAGTGTACAGTATTGAATTAAATTGTTTAAAAAACTCTAGATACAAATGTACTTAAGGCTTATAAGTTACTAATACTCAAACAAATGAAAATTAATAGTTATAAAGTGCTTTTTCATACACTTTTTAATATACTTTTTTTTTTACACTGGTATATGGTACCTATATAAATATATGGACCAAAGTTTCAACTAAAAATAAAATATATAGTTGATATAATAAGTTTGAAAAAAAGTCATGCCAAAGTTTAATTTAATTCCTTAAAAATAACTTTCACAGAATTAAAACCAAAAATTAACATTTTATAAATGAATGGCTCGTTCATTAATTTACGAAATACCTTCCTACATAATACCAGTATACAATGGTGATTTAAAAAAAAAACGATGGCGTATTTATTGAAATATTTTTAAATCAAAAATTCATTTTTCTAATATTTTGAGTTTTCTAATACGACGAGTAATTTTAGATATTTTAATGGGCTAATATAAGGTTTAAAGTTACGTTTTAGTTGTTATATTTTATTTGGAGATTTATTTTGGAAGAAATGTAGAATATAGGTACATTAGGGTAAGTTTAGGTGTATTTCTGCAGTTAAATTTTATGAATTAATCTGTTGGCGTTTGATTAAAAATGTCTATAGATATTTTATTGTAACACCTGTTGGTACCATACATGATAAATAAGATAATGGATAAAATAATAATTATATATTTATTTATATATGTACATCTGAACTGTAAATTTATATCTATTTTGTATGTAATATTAATTCTAAAGCTGGATCTATCGGTGAACCTAATCGGTATGGAGATAAATCGTAATACTATAAGAATATTATGACATATAATTATTGTCACAATATTCTTACATCTGCTTTCTATTTATATTAAATTATATACAGGATTACAGGAATAGGGTTAAATAGTTGATGACGTATTGTGCAATCGAAATCGTTTCTGATTTTGCTTTCACGGGTTTCAAATTTTTGCCTTTCACTATAAAAATATGTATAATATAATATATATTTTAAAGGCATAGTATCATAATATTTTATGTAAATGTAATAATTGTTTATAGGCATAATTGCATAGATATATAAATATGTATAATAGGTAGGTATACATAAATATCTTAAAAATCGTGTGATGATTTATGGTAAAATATTATAATGTATTTAGGTAGTATTTACGCAGTACCTGTTGTAGGTATTACTGTATTAGGTTCACGTACATAGTAAAACTATTTAAGTTCTCCGAAGTCTAAAATATTATGAATGCAACTCTGCTTAATATATTTCTTTCAATTGAACAATCGAGGAAACCTCTGCTTTATATATTTCTTTCAATTGAATAATCGTGATAAACCGCTGCCATTGTACAATGGTCTTTAATCTAAAGTGTTTTATTATTAGTAAGCAAATCATAGTTTATTCACTTGTGAGCTATTTATTCATATTAAATATTAATATATATATATGAGTTGATTAGTTACACTATCATCAATGAAATGACTCAGAAGAGTACCTACGAATTAATATTCTCGGTATTATATTATGTATAGGTATCGACATAGTAAACAACAGGTTTAATTAATAATCATACTATAATCAAACGATTCAAACGTATATAATATTATTATTACAGTTAATGACTATGGGTTTAAACTAAACAAAAAAAAAAAAATGTAATAAAAAATGCTCTTTGGTTGTTAATTTATTTATTTTAAAATATAAATAGGTATAAGGTATTAAAAAAAAAACAGAAAAAAAATTTATTGAATTAAATTGACCGAAGAATAAGTTTAATGTTTTTATAAATATGTTTAAATCTATTTTACCATTTTAAACCATATTATGTGTATCAATGTACTATCATATCGTTTGTTATTTTTGCGAGAAAAACAAAATAATTGGCAAGTCATAGTTTTGAATATTATATACCTCATAATATAATATTATAGATAATAATAACTACTCACGTTATAGTTGTGACGAAAACTTGACGGATGAATTTCCGTCGTGCGGCTGTTGTTGCTGTTGTTGTTGTTGCTGCTGTTGTTGCTGCTGCAGTTGATAGTAATTGTGTAGCTGTGTGTGGGTGCCAGGGGTGGAATGCTGCGAGTTGCGGAATCCACAACTGGCTGCTGTGGCCGCGGCCACCGGGTTGGGCACAACGGCGTCGAAAAAGTCGGATGGGTCGGCGCTGTACCAGCCGGGTGCCCGGTGATGGCCCGCTGCAGCCGCCGCCGCTGCGGCCACGTACTGGTGATGGTGCGAGGCAAATTCGTCTCCATGGTTATGGTGATGGTCGCCGGTAGCGGCCGCGGCAGCAGCAGCGGCAGCCGCTGCTGCCGGAGTGGTCATGTACCTGTGATGGTGATGGTGCAGGTGGTTTCCCGTGGCGGCCGACGGCGAATCGTCCTGGTGATCGTTGTCGTACTGTAGGTGATGGTGGTGCTGATGGTATGCGGGAGGCGGCGGCGGTGGTGCCGATGACGACGTTTGGCCACCGGACGTCGGTGGCGCGGCCGGGTCACCGCCGGCTGACTGGTGTGGCGTGGACGACGGCGGTACACCTGGCTCTTTTTTCGGCTGTTTGTTGCAGTCGACTTGCATCAGTTCCTTGACGGCACCACCGCCACCGTGCAATAGCAGCTTGCACTGTTCCTCGGTAACCTTCTTCAGCATGAGCTCCTGCTGCCGCTTGATGGCATCTTCCTTCTCCTTGAGCGCGTCCTTCTTCTTAAACCGTCTCCGGCGACGCAGGTACGACCCGTTGTCGAACATGTTGTACGAGTCCGGGTCCAGCGTCCAATAGCTGCCCTTGCCCGGTTTCTTGTCGTCGCGCGGCTGCTTGACGAAACACTCGTTCAGGCTCAAGTTGTGTCGGATCGAGTTCTGCCAGCCCTGCTTGTTCTCCCGGTAGTACGGGAACCGCTCCATGATGAACTGGTAGATACCGTTGAGCGTGCACCGTTTATCCGACGCGTTCTGTATAGCCATTGCTATCAGGGCAATGTACGAGTACGGTGGCTTGACCATGTCTTTGGCCGCGGCCGCGGCTGCCGACACCACATGATGGTGGTGATGGTGGTGTGACGCCTGGTAACCGGCCGCCGGGTTGTATCCATACCGGGCGTACTGCTCGTACGCGCCCGGATAAGCGGCCGGGTTGGACGTGCCCGGGTACATGCCCGTCCGGTAGTACGCGTTTTGGTCGCCGAACAACGTGTGCATGATGTTTATATATTATTATGTAACACAATAATAGTACCACTCGCTACGACGGCGACGATGTTATTACGCGTTGTATATCTGCGGACAATTTTTTACTTATTTTTATTTCGAACGACAAAAGTGTTTTTTTTATTTTTATTATTATTGTTATTATTATTCCGAGTCCAATCACGATTTATATATATATATATATATATATAAATATCGGTCGATAGGTGTGCGTGAGTGGATATATATATATGTTTACCCGTTCGCGGGTCGTCCGTACTAGAGAAACACGCGAGACGCGACGGCCTTTCCGCGGAAATGTTTGCAATGAAAACAATACGCAACGACAACAAACCCGCGCGCGCGCGTACTGACTGTGCACCAAACGAAAACAACCCGAAAAAATTATTACACTGTCGCCGGCATGCACCACCGTCACCGCGTAGCCGTCAGCTCAGTCGCAGTCGCAGTCGTCATCACGCCCGCACACCGTCGAGTGCGTACGACGCGGTCAGCCGCCACCCCCGGACGTCCGGAGAGCGGTCCCCGGTTGGCCGGGCCGCGTTACGCCCACCGGCCAACCGGGCGGTCTCCTCCCCGCGCGCGCAGACGACGAGCCGCCCGGCCACGGGGTGCGGCGCGGTCACCTTCCCACCCGTCCCACTCTGTACCGGCCGGTCGACGACGTGACCACACCGAGCAGTGGCATGCGCGCGCGGTCTGCTTGCGCCGCGGAGGGACAGCCGCGGCCACTCGACGGTGCGTATAGCGGTATAATAATAATAATAATAATATTGTTATACGATTTCGTAAAACGACCGCCGAGAAACGGAAAAATCGCGAGGGGGCGGCCCCGGCGACCCGGGAAAACGCGGAGAAAAACCGACGCCGCCGTCGACGAGACGGACTGTCATCGTCCGCGGACGCCGCGCGCGCGTGTGCGCCTTTACGCACGCCTCGAACCCATTCGATCGCTAGATGGTTTTCATCTATACAAGCTTATATTATGGTCCGTTAAAGAGTTCAAGTATACGTATATATAAGTTCCGGTTCGTATATATATATATTGTCGTGAGTGTGTGAAGTTTTTGTAGAAAGCGTTTAATACCATATTGAAGGCATCCGAGCTCAATAGGTTTACTTATGCCATCACAATAATTTCGACTGTTCCTCATCGTAGCCAAAATTTGAATGCTTCCCAACACCATACAGAATTTAACGCTCGGTATTATGTAGGTATGTATTAATTTTTACCATCTGACAAATTCGTTTTGTATTTTTCATGTAAAAGACTGCAGCAGGCGTGTAACTAGGTATTTGCATAATATACATGTTAACTATACAATGATAAATAGGTATACCTATATAGGCTATAGGTACCTAAAATACTGCTAATATACGATTATAATCTGATTTATTGTGAGATTATATTTTTATAATAATTGTGGTTAGTGATAAGTGATAACCAATAACCTAATACATTTATTTATTTTTATGTAGTGGTTAGACATTTATAATATGACAAGACTCGTAATTTACGAATTATAGTAAAAATAAATTGGAATGTTTATTTCATTGTTAAATGAATGTTTTATTGATGTCTTGTTTAATATTTAATAAATGTAATTTAATTTTTAAAAACAAATTGTGTACCAAAAAGTGTTATCCTATATATTATTATCTATATCAGTTGAATAATTATTAATTAGGTTCTACGTTTTCTTTTTTTCTATTCCAACGTTATATTTGTATGAAACATTATATTTATGTTGTAGTAGACCAGTGGCGGATCCAGGGTTGATTTTTTTTTTTTGGCCGGGGTGCCTAAAAAAATTACTTTTAAGCCATAAATACAATATACATTATAATATTCTAGGCGTGACGTTCCTAAAAATATGAAAGAAATGGTTATTAAGGGAATGCCATTAATTATATTATGGTTTGGTTAGGAATCGTTCATATTAATTAGCTACCTATAATAATATTGAATTATAAAATATTTTAATTGTTTTATTTAAAAAAAAAATACAAAATCTATTCTGCACTTATTTTTAGAAGCAAAATATTTATACAGATTTCAATTTTATTATACATATTTAAATCTACATGTACTGTCCTCTATGAGGAGACTGTTGTAGAGGTCGGGGGGGGGAGGCCCCTAGACCCCCCTGGATCCGACACTGTTGTGGACACATGCATTTCTACATTATAAGTACCTAAGTTTTATAGTTATACCTATAATTTGTATATTGACAATAGATACTAAGGCTGGTTACTGAGAACAAGAAAATTAGTATACTATTATTATTATCCTCCAAAAGAAAAGTGTAGTATATCCTGCAAAACTCAAAATGCTAGAAAATGAATTTTTGTTTTAAAAATATTTCAATAAATACTCCATCGTTTTTTTTTTCGAAATCGGTGTTTACTGCATTACCTATTATTTGTTTTTTTTTCAAATTGATTTGATTATTTTTACCTTTTTATGGTTTTTACAAATGCAGTATCTCCATTGGATTTAATTTTGTTGCTTTTTGTTTAAATATTGTCATAGATATTATAATAGATAACAAAATAACTCTCATAATAATTCATTTTACTTCATTATTTTTATTTTGGAGGGCAGAATAATAGGTATACTGGTATACATGTAAATTGCGTACAATTTATGCCTATTTCTTGTTATATAAATTTATATATTTAATTCCATTACCCAATAATACCCATATATTTTATTGTTTTATATGCAATATTGCAATATGCAACTATCAATAGTACCTATATCTATAGATTCTATACAACCAAATACCAATTACCAATTAGTAAAATTGTATCATCTATTAAGTTGTATTAACTACCCTGATATTTATTTAACTCATTGGACATATTGTCCAAATTAAAAATACAAACATACGTATATATATTTAAACACATGTTCATATTGTGACACTGTCACAACGACGTCATAATATATTATATTTGACTAATTATTTAAAGGGGTTTATATTTTGTTTTTAAACAACTTCGAAATAATATACAAGTTCTATGATTTTGTATGATAATGGTAAAAGGGTAAATACACATCTATAAGTTGTAGTGAATTGTAATGAATATTGTTTATAAATGTTTTTGATTATAATAATAACATATACCTAATATTATACATAGATGCGGTATAGTTTAGGCATATATACTATTGTAGTATATCATGTAACATGTAAGTCTCAAAAATACCTATAGTATAATATATTGTAATAACGTTGTATTTATAATCAAATATTATAAAATCCAATGAATGTTGTACATTGTATTTAATAATTATGGTGAGAATACTACTCATATAGGAACCAGGTAGGTTAGCCTAACCTGGTACCTATATGGCTAAGAAGTATATATTATATACATAATATAGCCCCGGGAATTATTGCAGATTTAATGTTATAAATTATATAATGGGTAGGTAGGTAATAACAGTTATTGCATTCAATTCAGTTGTTTATTTTATTCCTTATCGGATTTAACTAATATGTTATAATACTTATGAACTTATAAATGTACAATGATTATAACATTGTTATTAGGTAATTTTATTTTATGAGTTTTTTATTCACTTGTTAATACTTCTATAATATAATAGGTAATAATAATAAGTAGTTCAGTTGTTAAGAGATACGTTTTGTAAACTTAATCAATCGGAGATATTTTTATGACAAATATTATGGAAGTGTTCAATTTTTTTTTTTTACAATTCCCTGAAATACAATATAGCTCATTAAATATAGTAACTACTAACTACATTAGAGTTTGGTTAACTAATTTGTATATTTATTATTTTATTTGTTATATTATGACGTTGTAATATATTATTATAAGAAAAAATCATTTAAAAAATATGAAAACCATGTGATGGTCCACACCGATCGATTTATCAAAACGAAAAAGGTGTTTCAGCTGTTGAAAGATTTTCGAATGGAACCAATTGCGGGTTTATGTGTACTGGCATTATAGGTACTATTATCCTAGGGTAATCTTTTTGGAATGTTCCTATAATACCTTTTGGACTTAGCCGAATTTCAGACACTAAATATAGAAAACCATCGTACAAGTCATATCGTATCAAGTATGTGCAGACCGCAGACGTATTATTATTATAAATAAGGTACCTATATTATATTGAGGTGCCAAAAAAACTCGGCGCGGGTCTGTACATAATAAATATTATATTATTGTACAATAATAGATAACGGAAGTCGTTCGCGGCGACGGATTAACATCTTCCGGTCCCCATCGCGGTTTCCCATCGCAGCGTTCCTTTGTCGGCGTTTCCGCTAATCGCGAGGATTACGACGGACGTGACGTTTTGCCGAGGCGGCAAAAGGCCTTTGACAAAAACGAAGACCAACCACCGTATATTGTAACACATAATAATAATTAATAATAAGATGGATTATAATATTATATCAGTCGCGATAACCAGCTCCACGCGAAACCGCGGCCGCATGTGTTGCGGCGCACATGATACACATCGCATTGACATAATGATCTCGTCGACGGCATTATTGCAGCGATCATCTTGTCAAGATAATAATATATTATTACTGCGTTTATAATATACTCCTGCACTCCACAGCGCCGATATACTCAAATTTACATACACAGTAATTGTTTTGCGCTCTGGGACTACAACTCGAATATTACGAGAATGAGTGTTTTTTTTTTTAAAAATGTATGTAACTATAATAGCTCTTACCTCCCTCCCCCCCCATACGTAAATTTAACACAATGGAACAAAATATACAATGTTATCGCATATTACAACAGTATTTATTATTATGCCCTACATATGAAATAGAAACTAGAAAATAATCAAGCAGAGAAGTTATAGAAGTATTTCTAATGTTTGAATCACAGTGCATTCGGTACGACGATAGATTGCTGAATGAGACTATAAGTGGTACACTTAGAAGGAACATAAGAATATCACGGTGTAAAATTCTATTAGATATGGTAAA